TTTCCCTAGACTCAAGGAGAACATTTTTGGTGTGCAGAGCAGTAGTGTTACTGAGGATATGGCAGAGAAGGTTGAGCACGCTTTCATGAATGTGGGCTTAGAAGCTCATGGGATGAATGTGTCTTCTCAAATGTTCCTTGGGTGCCCCATGAGCCTGTTGTTTTATCCCAGAGCAAACAGGGCAGGTATTGGCACAGGTTTGGTGGTGCTGGGGCTGGTTTAATCTCCGGATGTCCTGCCCTGGGGACAGTAGCGCCTCAGGGACAGGTGCTACTGGCACGTGGCATCTGTCTCTTGAGGAGACCTGCCATGTAACATCCACACTACCTGTTCAATCACCTGTCCTGAATGCTGCAGATCGAGCTGGTGCTTAATGTCCACTGTCTGACGAGCTGAGCATTGTAATTAGTTTCAACAGACTCTGCCAACACTCCTTGTGACATGAACCCCTGCCAGGCAGAGCTTGTGTCTTTGTCTGCACTTCCTAAGGCCTATTTTTTCCCCACCTTTTTCTCTTGACTGTGCTCATGTGTCGCTCTCTGAGGTGCTCAGTGGTGACACAGCTGTGGCAGGAAACAGGTTGGCCATTGCTGTGTTTAGCAGAGCAGCAGCACATGAGCTGTGGGTCCAACTACAGTGTCATGGACACCACAGAAGTGCTGCTTGGAGCAGGACAGGCAGTCTGTCTCGGACCTTACCCGTGCTGGCTTTGACAGCCTTGCCAAATGCTGCCACCAGCAGCTCCTGCAGGAGCTGGCCAATGCACACAAACTCTGCCCAGGTTTCCCTGCACAGCCCAGGTCTCCTGACCTTCCAGGTCCACAGTTCAGCTCCAGAGAGAGCAGAGCAGGATATTAATCAGAGGGACATCCCAAGGGAGCTGCCAGAGCGGCAGAAGTTGTGCAGGAGAGCCAGACTGGCTGTTTTCCCCAGAGTTGAAAGGGCTGAAGCCAACCAGTGCCCAGAGAGACTCACTATTGTCCAGTTTGGAGATTTCTGCTGCTTTCTGTCTGGGAGATCAAAACAGAAGGGTTTGCTTCCTTGCATTGCCTAGGTGTGATCTCATGCTAGAAGCAGCGCAGGAACAGAAGCAGCTTCAACACCTTCCTCCTTTTCCTACTCCAGCTTTTGCCTACAGATAACTCATTTGTTTTCAGCTGAAAGTTTACCTCTAGAGGTGCTGGTTTTGTGACCATGCTGGAAAGTGTTGATCAGCTCTGGGTGGCTCAGAAGCTGAGGGGCAGCTCACGTATCCTTGCATGTTGAGATGCTGATGGAGCTGCCAGAAAATGGGTGTGCTGGGAGCACGTGGATGTGGCAGGGCATCAGTGTCAGCCAAGTGGCCTCAAAAGCCAGGGACAGTCTTGTGCAGCTGAGAGGACACTTGCTGCTGTGATGCATGTGCTCAAGAGGATTTGTATTTTGAAACACAGTAAGGTGGAACCTCATTTTGATCACAGGGGCTTGATCAGTTTTAATTACAGTGTGCAGTGGGGAGGGGTACAAGCAGCTGTCATCTTGGAGAGGCAGGATGTGAATTGCTGCAGCCCTGTGCCAAGGAAGAAGGTAGGTAAAAGGTGAGGGATAGGAGGGACAGATGCTACTCACTGACTTCTTTAAGACAACAAAAGAAGTGTTGCTCATAGACAACAGACCTGTGTTCCCAGCTGTGCCGTGCACGGGGTACTCACGTGGCAGGGTTCAGGGGGTTGATGAAGAGCAGCAGAGCTGTAGGGTGTCCAAGGCTGCTGCTGGGGCTGTGCTACCTGCACCCTGCAACCACCAGTGCTGGCACAGGACAGGCACTCACTGTGTGCAGGAAACCCCAGGTGTGTCCAGAAAGTCCCTGACACTGCTTTCTGCTCCCAGTGGGCAACTACCAGGCCCCTGGGTCTGGCACTGCTTGATGGATGGGAATAGACAGGAAGCCATGACTTTCTATATAATATTATTATAAGGCAGAACTTTTATGAAGTCCCACTTTTCTCAAATTACAGTGTTCTGGCCTGAGCTTTATAATCAGTGCTTATATAGCTCAGCTTTATGCTGCTCTCATAAGCTCTTACCAGGTCCAACAGACCTGCTTGGAATGGCACCCAACACTGACAGCTCTCCTGGTTTGCTCCAGGTTTTAAAACAACCCTCTTTTAGAGTTTTCTTCTTATCATCATCATCATCATCTTTAAGACATTTTTTAAATGCTTCTCCAATTCTGCTCAGGGTTTGGTGAAGGAGGGGTGCTGAACGGTCAGGCCTGTGCCTCCCACATGTGACGGGTTAGACAGCCTCTGTGGGACTTGGTTTTGGGGCATGTACCTGTTCTCCCAGGTCTCCTTTGACTCACGGTTATAAGCACAAGTGTAACTGCTGAGGTCAGTAGTGAAACCTCTCAGACTGCTGTGTGACTCAGGGTCACATCATGAGCTTTGCTGTCGTAGGTTGCTCCACAAAATGCAATTCCTCCCTCAGCAGATGGAGGAAGGAGGAAGCTTCCTTTGCCCTGGGCACCCACAGCCAGCCTGCGTGGGAGAGCTGGTGCATGAGGGATTGTCACTGCTTGCTGTTGTCACTTGCCTGGCTGCGTGGCCTCCTGCCATTCTGCCTTGTGCTGTTCCCAGGCGAGTGGCATCTGTTGAGTCCACCTCTGCCTTCCAATGCTCAGAGATCTCTCTGCTGGCCCCTGGCAGCTACAGATGCACTGCAGCCATGGGCCCCTGGCTGCTGTTGGCATGACATATGACAGCACATCCCACAAGCCTCTTTCTATATGTGACCTCAGGAAGACACAGCTGGGCTAGCTCAGATTGCCTGGCAAAATCCAGCGCGGGGGTGCTAACAAGGAGACCTGCCTCCTGCAGCTTTGGGCTCTCTCAACAGAACGTGGTGCTGTCACCTGACGGCATGGGGCCCAAAGCCTCAGGAGTTGACATCACAGGGAGGTGTTGGAATGAGCTACAGCATGCATCAAGAGGTCAACCACAGCCTCTGGCTCACCTTGCTTGGTGATTCTGAGCCGGACAACCAGGAAGATGATGTGTCCCTAAAGGAGCGCTAAGTACCCCTTAGCCTTTGGCCTGAAGGTAACTGCTGCTGCCCAGGTATGTGTCCTTCCCTCTCCCACCACCCTGCATCACCCCCGCCGGTATCATACAAGCCCGGGAGGAGTGACTGACACGCCAGAGGGTCGTGCTGCCATCCAGGGACAGGATGGAGAAACGGGGAGGTCGGGGACCTCGTGCCCTTCAACACAGGGAAGAGCCAAGTCCTGTGCAGGGGACAACAGCGGCCAAACAACCCTTTGCAAGCATGAGGGTTGTGAGGGTCCCGCTGGACGTCCAGCTGAACGTGAGCCAGCAACGTGCCCCTGTGGCAACGGAGGTGAATGGTGTCCCGGGGGTGCTGGGTGAGGTGCTGCCCGCAGGGGCAGGATCGTTCCCTCTGCTCGGGTGAGGGCACACCCGCACTCCTGCGCTCGGCTCTGGGCTCGCCAGGCCAGAACAGACAGGGACATAGTGGAAAGAGTCCAGCAGAGGGCCAGCAAGGTAAAGGGACCGGAGCCTCCTTCCCGCCAGGAAAGGCTGAGACCCCGGACCGCGCAGCCCGGAGAAGGCTCGGGGAGGCGTCAGGCAGCCCAGCCCTGCCTCTCTGCCCCCGGTATGAAGCGTTTCACCTGCAAACCACGTTGAGGAGCGACAGCCCCGCGCCCCCGCCGGGCTCCGGGGTGCCACGCGGTGGTGCTGCGGCCCCACGGAGCGGGCTGGGAACCGCCCCCAGGACCTGCCCGGGCACTGAGCATCCCCCGGGGAGGCTCCCCGGGCCAGGGCAGCCCCCGGTGGTCCCAGAGATGAGGGTGGAGACCACGATATGCTGCTGCCTCTGCTGCCAAACTTGGCGTGCCCTAAATCGGCATTAATGACTTGCAGACGTAGCACGGGGGTCAGACCAGGTGTTGAGCTGCCCACCATCATATCCATGGCCTTGCTTGACACATCTCCCTGCTCCTACTGCCTCTCACAAGGCCCTCGTGGAAGCACACAAGTGTGTGCTTTCCAGGAGGGGTTTGGGGGCAGTTTTTTGCACCCACAGCTCTGGGCATGGAGCATGTGATGAAGCTGTTAGATTGCCTTTTCCCCAAGCTGGATGCTGTTATCACTTGGAGTCCTTCATCTGCTTCCCCAGCTTTGCATCAGAGCAGTCACATAGAATGGGGCCAGGCCTGGGGGCCTCCTGCTTGGGCCAGGGTCTGGGCCAGCCTTCTTCAGCAAGGCAGAATAGCCAGAGCCACAATTGTTTGCTCCTCTCTCTGTGGGTTTGTCTTCTGGTTTGTTGTTTTGGTTTGGTTTGTTTTTTTTCTGGAGGGGGGAATGTTCAGACTTCAGAGATGACCACAGTGAACCCAAACTGCCTGTTGCTGTCTCCTTTTACCCCTGAAGGACAAGCTTAAACTTGTCTCTAACCCAAGCTAAATACCACCAGAAAAGGCTTCTTCCCCTTATAAAGAAAAGAAATCAACAAAGGATGTCAGTAATATGTGAAATCCTTCCTTTCCATTTTAAAATACTGTGGTTAATTTGTTTTCCTTCTTTTCCCAGCCTCTGACCATTAGGAAAAGGCTTGAGAAGTCAGAGGGGGAGTCTTGCTGTAGCACCTCTTGGGTCTTCTCTTGGCTGTTAGCTCTGACCGGGACATGGGTGTACAGGGGTCTGGTGCTCTGAGCCAGCTGAGATCTCCTGGACAGCCTGCTGGACATGAGCTGGGGCCTCCAGAAGGCCCAGTCTGGCAGCCCCAGGGCAGGCTGTGCTGACAGGTGGAGTAGCTGCCCCCGGGGAAGCTCAGCTGTCATCAGCACAGAGCCATGGAAACAAAAGAGAAGGAGCTGGTGCCCAAGGGATGTTTTATCCTTGAGAGGGGCTGGGGTGTGGGGGGGAGATGTTTACAAATGGCTTTCCTTTCCTACAGCTCTCCAGCTGCACAAGGGTTGGCTGTCCTTGTTCTCCCATCCTCCCTGGCTGGTTCCCTCCAGCTCCGTGCTGCTCAGCCTTGCTGCATGCATCCTTGCCCCCTTCTCCACAGGCTTTGATTCCCAGGGAGGCCAGAGGAGCCAGGGGCACAGTGCCATGCCACACAAAGCCTGTGGTCCTCTCCCTGAAGTCAGCAACTCCTGCTGTCTCCTGTGCCACCGCTGCTTCCTCTCTCACACACGATGTTTTCTTTGTGTCTGGCAGCTCCATCCCTGCGGCCTGTCCCTGGGAGAGAGCAACGGGATGCAAGAGCTGGAGCCTCCCTGGAGAGGTGCCCTATCCCAGGGCTGCAGGCGCCAGATCTGGGACACGTGTGCCTTGAGGCCTGGGGTGCTTTGCTGGTGCAGGACTTTGCTTTAGCAAGAGCTTCACGGAGCCTCTTGTGCCACCTGACGTGTGAGTGGCCTCTTCCTCTGGCCTGGGGGCAGGTTTTGAGGGGCTTGTCAGCCCATGCTACGCCTGGGGCGCGGTGCTGGGGTGTGTGTTGTTGCTACTGGTGCATTTATGAGGGAATCTCAGGTTTCATCACGGGTTGGGGAGGCCCAGAGATCATCACCGCAGCGCAGCCACCTACGCAGCCGAGGATGCTGCCCCCGTGCTCTCCCCGGGAACAGTGTGTCCAGGACTCTGTCGTTTGGCAGGAGGTGCAGAAGGATGCAGGGCTGCCAGAGCGCAGCCACTTCCCGACGGCATCAGCCTGCATTTCAGGAGCACATGGAGGTCTGCACTCCTGGCTAGGAGCCCGTCTTTGGA